AATCCAAAACCCATCGGTGTGCTGTATCCAGGAAACCCATCTTACATGCAAGGATACCCAAAGGCTCAAAATAAAGGGATGGAGGAAGATTTACCAAGCAAATGGAGAGCAAAAAAAAAAAAAACAAAACAGGAGTTGCAATTCTCATCTCTGATAAAATAGACTTTAAAGCAACAAAGATCAAAAGAGGCAAAGAAGGACATTACATAATGGTAAAAGAATTGATACAACAAGAAGAGCTAACGATCCTAAATATATATGGACCCAATACAGGAGCACCCAGATATATAAGGCAAGTTCTTAATGACTTACAAAGAGACTTAGACTCCCACACAATAATAGTGGGAGACTTTAACACTCCACTGTCAATATTAGACAGATCAACCAGACAGAAAATTAACAAGGATATCCAGGGCTTAAACTCAGACCTGGAACAAGCAAACCTGATAGACATTTACAGAACTCTCCACCCCAAATCCACAGAATATACATTCTTCTCAGTGCCACATCACATCTACTCTAAAATTGACCACATAATTGGAAGTAAAGCACTCCTCAGCAAATGCAAAACAACAGAAATCATAATAAACAGTCTCTCAGACCATAGTGCAATCAAGTTAGAACTCAGAATTCAGAAACTAACCCAGAATCACACAGCTTCATGGAAACTGAACAACTGGCTCTTGAATGTTGACTGGATAAACAATGAAATGAAGGCAGAAATAAAGAAGTTCTTCGAAACCAATGAGAACGAAGACACGACATACCAGAATCTCTGGGACACATTTAAAGCAGTCTCCAGAGGAAAATATATAGCAATATGTGCCCATATGAGAAGAGTGGAGAGATCCAAAATTGACACCCTATCATCAAAATTGAAAGAGCTAGAGGAGCAAGATCAAAAAAACTCAAAACCTAGCAGAAGACAAGAAATAACTAAGATCAGAGCAGAACTGAAGGAGGTAGAGACACGAAAAACCCTTCAAAAAATCAATAAACCCAAGAGCTTGTTTTTTGAAAAGATCAACAAAATAGACAGACCACTAGCCAGACTGATAAAAAAGAAAATAGATGCAATAATAAATGATAAAGGGGAAATCACCACAGATTCCACAGAAATTCAAACCATCATCAGAGAATATTACAAACAACTCTATGCACATAAACTAGTAAACCTGGAAGAAATGGATAAATTCCTGGACTCCTGTGTCCTCCCAAGCCTAAACCAGGAGGAAGCTGAAACTATGAATAGACCAATAACAAGGTCTGATGTCAAGGCAGCAATTAAGAGCCTACCACTCAAAAAAAAGCCCAGGTCCAGATGGGTTCACAGCCAAATTCTACCAGACACACAAAGAGGAGCTGGTACCATTCCTTCTAAAACTATTTCAAACAATCCAAAAAGAGGGAATCCTTCCCAAATCATTTTATGAGACCAACATCATCCTGATACCAAAACCTGGCAGAGACTCAACAAGTAAAGAAAACTTCAGGCCAATATCCATGATGAACATAGATGCAAAAATCATCAATACAATACTGACAAACCAATTACAACAGCACATCAAAAAACTTATCCTTCATGATCAAGTAGGATTCATCACGGGGATGCAAGGCTGGTTCAACATGCGCAAGTCTATAAACGGAATTCACCACATAAACAGAACCAAAAACAAAAACCACATGATATCTCAATTGATGCAGAGAAGGCATTTGACAAAATTCAACAGCCCTTTATTCTACAAACCCTCAATAAACTTGGTATTGATGGAACGTATCTCAAAGTACTAAAAGCTATTTACGACAAACCAACAGCCAATATTATACTGAATGAGCAAAAACTGGAAGCATTCCCTTTGAAATCTGGCACTAGACAAGGATCCCCTCTCTCACCACTCCTTTTCTATATAGTACTGGAAGTTCTAGCCAGAGCAATCAGGCAAGAAAAAGAAATAAAGGGTATTCAAATAGGAAAGGTGGAAGCCAAATTGTCTCTATTTGCAGATGACATGATAGTATACCTAGAAGACCCCATCGCCTCAGCCCAAAAACTCCTGAAACTGATAAGCAACTTCAGCAAAGTCTCAGGATATAAAATCAATGTGCAAAAATCACAAGCATTCCTATACACCAATAATAGACTTAAAGAAAGCCAAATCAAGGACAAACTGCCATTCACAATTGCTACAAAAAGATTAAAATACCTAGGAATACAACTTACAAGGAACGTAAGGGACCTCTTCAAGGAAAACTACAAACCACTGCTCAACAAAATAAGAGAGGAAACAAACAGATGGAGAAACATTCCATGTTCATGGTTAGGAAGAATTAATATTGTGAAAATGGCTATACTGCCCAAAGTAATTTACAGAATCAATGCTATCCCCATCAAGCTACCAATGACCTTCTTCACAGAACTGGAAAAAACCACCACGAACTTCAGATGGAACCAAAAGAGAGCCTGCATAGCCAAGTAAATTCTAAGCAAAAAGAACACAGTGGGAGGCATCACACTACCGGACCTCAAACTACACTACAAGGCTACAGTAATCAAAACAGCATGGTACAGGTACCAAAACGGAGATATAGACCAATGGAACAGAACAGAGGCATTGGAGGCAACACAACATATCTACAACCATACAATCTTTGATAAACCTGACAAAAAACAAGCAATGGGGAAAGAATTCCCTGTTTAATAAATGGTGTTGGGAAAACTGGCTAGCCATGTGCAGAAAGCAGAAACTGGACCCCTTCCTGACACCTTACACTAAAATTAACTCCCGATGGATTAAAGACTTAAACATAAGACCTGGCACCATAAAAACCCTAGAAGAAAATCTAGGCAAAACCATTCAGGACATAGGAGTAGGCAAGGACTTCATGAACAAAACACCAAAAGCATTGGCAACAAAAGCCAAAATAGACAAATGGGACCTAATCAAACTCCACAGCTTCTGCACGGCAAAAGAAACAGTCACTAGAGTGAATCGCCAACCATCAGAATGGGAAAAAATTTTTGCTGTTTACCCATCTGACAAAGGGCTGATATCCAGAATTTACAAAGAACTCAAACAGATTTACAGGAGAAAGACCAACAAGTCCATTCAAAAATGGCCAAAGAATATGAACAGACACTTTATAAAAGAAGACATACATGATGCCAACAAACATATGAAAAAATGCTCATCATCACTGGTCATTAGAGAGATGCAAATCAAAACCACATTGAGATACCATCTCACGCCAGTTAGAATGGCAATCATTAAAAAATCTGGAGACAACAGATGCTGGAGAGGATGTGGAGAAATAGGAACACTTTTACACTCCTGGTGGGAGTGTAAACTAGTTCAACCATTGTGGAAGACAGTGTGGTGTATCCTCAAGGACCTAGAAATAGAAATTCCATTTGACCCAGCAATCCCATTACTGGGTATATATCCAAAGGACTATAAATCAGTCTACTATAAGGACACATGCACACGAATGTTCATTGCAGCACTGTTTACAATAGCAAAGACCTGGAACCAACCCAAATGCCCATTGATGATAGACTGGATTGGGAAAATGTGGCACATATACACCATGGAATATTATGCAGCAATAAAAAATGTTGAGTTCCTGTCCTTTGTAGGGACATGGATGAATCTGGAGAACATCATCCTCAGCAAACTGACACAAGAAAAGAAAATCAAATACCGCATATTCTCACTCATAGGCGGGTGATGAAAAATGAGAACACATGGACACAGGGAGGGGAGTACTATACACTGGGGTCTATTTGGGGGAATAGAGGAGGGACAGTGGGGGGTGGGGAGCTGAGGAGGGATAGCCTGGGGAGAAATGCCAAATGTGGGTGAAGGGGAGGAAGGCAGCAGAACACACTGCCATGTGTGTACCTATGCAACTATCTTGCATGTTCTGCACATATACCAGAAAACCTAAAATGCAATTAAAAAAAAAAAGTTCACTCTAAAGTGAATGCCTTGTTTAAAACTTGAAATGTGTAAGTAGTAATAAAGAAAATATGTCCTCCTCTAACCAAAGTTAGGACTGATTACATATTCAGTTGACTGACAGATACAGTCATCTAAATTAGGAGCAATCAGCACATCCTTACAAACTAAAGTCTTGAGATATAGTTTTCCCATTGGCTTATGAATATTTTCTTTAATTACTCAGAATAATACTCGGTAGGATCTGCCAGCTGCCCCCAATTATACTAGCTGCACCCAGTGACCACAGTGAACAGTATTTTACATCCTAAATAACTGGATCAAGGTAAGACATAATTTTCTGAGTTTCCTATCACCTTTGTGTTTCAAGTCCTCAGATGTTAATTTGTGAAGCTGCTGTTTCAGGCCAAACTAACAAAATTAGCAGCTAATCAATAGCCATACTATGTTCATTCATATCCCTATGGAACACAGATAGGAGTAGGGGAAGAGTGAGAAAGGTGGAAGTGGAGAAATAGAGGCCTGAGGAGAAAATTTTATCACAGAAATGTCTAGCTGTCTTCTGGGATTGTCTATTAAAGAGCTATGACACTCATATAAATGCAGAATCGCTCTCATTCTTCCTTTCAATTAGAAGGCCAAGGGTGCCACGGTAATACTACCAAACGTATATCAAAGCTTGGCAGGAAAAATGGTACCTTCGGAAATTTTATAATCCAGTACTGATTTCTTTGGTTTCGTTAGAAAACTAGAAAACTTTAAATTAGAAACTTTAAGTTAGAAACTTAGAAAGCTTCGAATTAGAATTTGTGGTTAAAAAGGTAAATTTTAGCTCCTTCCAGCATTAGAATTCAGCGATTCTCTAACTCTGAGCCCGGATTAAATCCAGCTCGCCTGAGTAGAAACCTAAGTAACTAGCTGGTTACCTTTAGTGAGCTTCCACTTTAGAGCTGCTTCTGCCTAAGTTCACCATCGTGACTAACTTTCTTGGGGGCAAAGTTAGAAAGCAGACATTAGAGTCAATCAGAAATGAAGCAAACTCACTTTCTACAGCCATTGTCAATAGGTCCTTTTAAGATTATCCTCATCCAAGATTTGATAAGCTGTTTTGACTTTAGTACAGATCTTATTATCCACGTCGGTTAAGTTGATGCTTCTTCTAAATCTATCTAAATTTAAAAGATAAAAAGCTAATGTTCAGTCTTATCAGATTAATCTTATTTATTAATAGAATGCAGATATTTTTTAACCAAATAACAATAATAGTAATGATAGGACCATAAACGTGGATGGCCCTTTACAAGTCACTAACATTTCATACATTCCTCAACAACACACTCTGAGGCCATAACAAACCTTTGGAAATAACACAATTGGCTACAGAACTCCCAGCCATCTAGCTTCATGGGCTCCCACTTTAATTTCAAAAGAACAAGACTGTGCACATTCATTTACATGATTAGGGCAGCGCTTAACTGTATCTCATGTAGTACCTACATCATTCTTTGGACAAAATTACTACCTTCTACGGACAAGAAAACGGGGGCTCAAAAACGGATTTGCTTATAAATGGCTAATAAAGAGTAACTCTGGGTTCAAAGTGAGTCCAAGTCTTTCTTCCACCTACAGATCCTGCTAAAGTCACTAAAGAAATGCATAGAGCAGTTCTTCCATGTTATTGCTTAAGTTTCTAAAGAGCAGTGACCTAATACAACATGGTCTATAATTTATTATCGATTTAACTACTTCACTAAGGAGTCACTTTTAACTTTTAACTTGTAAAATACGCCTAATAAATACCACTCAAATGGCAACCTCTTTCTTCATGGCCTTGTGGTTGTAAAGCAAGCTACTAATATATGTCTGTGGATTTGTGCTAATGAAGTTCTATGTACCTCATGAATTCCACAAATCCTATCGGGTATTTCTTATCTGCCAGACCCTATGCTGGGTGCTGGATACACAATGCCAAACAAGAGAGGTACCAATGAGTCTCACAGAGCTTGTTTTATTGAAAAGAAAAGAGATAGAATCTAATCAACAAGCAAATAATAGTAACTCACTATGATGTGTTCTGAAGGAAAACTAGAGTGTCGAAGAGACGGTATCAGCAGGTAGAGGGGAGCTCTTTTAGATGGAGAATGAAAATGTCTCTCTAAAGACATGGAAATAAATTGAGATCATGAAAAATGAGAAATAGCCAGCCTTGAAAAGAGTGGAAGGAAGAATATTCCAGGGAAAAGAAAGTGCATACGGGAAAGCCTGAACACTAGAGTTTGGTATGTGCAAGGAGCTGAGCAATGGTCATTTTTTGTGTGGTAAGACAAGCGAATGTGGGGCGTGGCGAATCCCACGCAGCTCTTAAGTGTGTCCCCAGACTCCTGTAGTTTCCATCAGACACAACCTGAATAACTGTGTTATAATCCAAAAACGTTTACAGATGAAACATATAAAGATATTACACCCATAGTACCTAAGCCAAGGACACAGTAGTCTATCTTTTCAATGAAGATCTGCATGAAGTTAGATTATTATATATAATTATAGGTATTGATAGAGACACATCAGTGGATATAGATAATGTGTCTTTGGTATAGAAAAAGTTTTAAAGGGATATTAAAAGTTGCAGGGTTGGAGATTAGGGCAACTTTCATTTCTTTTTAATTTTAAGAAAAAAGTGATATTATGGGGAATTAGCATGTTTGTGGGAATACGTATTTTTTTAATTAAGAAAATAAACAACAAAATGAAGAAAATGTTTTTCTTCTATGAAAGCCTCATTAGAAGAAATTTCAGCTGTTTAAACCCAGGGAGTAAAAAGCATCAAATCCAAGAATGTTCTCTGGAACCGAGCCCAATACATTTTTATTTGAGTGAGAATTGGACACATTTCCATCCCCTTGGGGCTCCAGTCTGTCAATATTTTACTTTTCAGAGATGAAGAGACACACGTAGATCATTACAGTGACTTCAGTAACTTTCCTTCTCTTATTTATATTTATTTTATTTCTATCATAGTTTTCCCTGTTAAGGACTTTTTTTCTTTTTCCTTACATATATATTTTTAGAGAACAATGCACATACAAAAAATTTCTCTTGCTCTGCTAGATCTGGACTTTTTCTCTCATATATATCTCCATTGTTTGTCTTTTTTTAGACATAGTTGGGAAGTGAAAAAGAGAATTGCCGTATAGCTGCCCTACTCTTCTCATTGACAGTGTTTTGATTTAACAGTTTTTATACAAAAGTCAGCTTTGTTTATCTAAGATGTTTTTTTTGGTTGGAATTTAACCTACCTCTGCCTCCCCTTTCCCAAGTCCACTTCAGCTAACTTCTCATTCAACAGGTACCAGTCTACCATTACTGAATCTTGCTAGCAAAGAATCTCAAATTTTCCCGCTTGGTTGTAAATTATTTCGTAATCTCTAGTATTTAAGGGCCCTTTGTCCTGTCTAATCCCTTCCCTGGCAGGACACCTTCAGGGATGGATGGCTGTGTCGTTGGTTTGCTTGGTATTCCCCACTGTTCCTACCATGTGGTGATTATCTATGACCTCCCTAATCCCTAGCTGCCTTAGCTGAGACTGGCTCACACACTTCTCAGGTTGCTGCTGGCTTTATAGTCCTTTACTGCCCATACCACTTTGGAGATAGGCAGGATTAGTACTTTCCTATATAAACCCCAAACTTGACTTTGTGTTTCACAGGAAGGTGAAAAAGTGGGGTCTCTTTTCTTTCCACAAGATGATAACTAGGGAAGCCTGGGGGCAGGGTTTATTTCTGCATTTGCAATGACCAGCTGCTTCCTGTTCCTTCCTTCCTAAACTTCTGTGTCAGATCCATATCAGTTTCTATCCCTTACTCTGCTAATAATAATAATAATAATAATAATAATAATAAAGAATGGATGTTAACTCTGAGGTTCGAGTTCTTTTTAACTATATCGTTAATTTTTTTTTGAGATGGGGTCTTGCTCTGTCACCCAGGCTAAGTGCAGTGGTGCAATCACAGCTCACTGCTTCAGCCTCCTGAGTAGCTGGGACTACAAGCACCATGCCACCACACTTCTTTTTAATTTTTTAAATGGTTTTCTGCCTTCAATTCTAAGCACTTCTCAATTGCAACCAAGAGATAATACTTTTTATGAATTCTTTTTTTTTTTTTTTGAGATGGAGTTTCGCTCTTGTTACCCAGGCTGGAGTGCAATGGCGCGATCTCAGCTCACCGCAACCTCTGCCTCCTGGGTTCAGGCAATTCTCCTGCCTCTCAGCCTCCTGAGTAGCTGGGATTACAGGCATGCATCACCACGCCCAGCTAATTTTTTGTATTTTTAGTAGAGTCGGGATTTCACCATGTTGACCAGGATGGTCTCAATCTCTTGACCTCGTGATCCACCCGCCTCGGCCTCCCAAAGTGCTGGGATTACAGGCGTGAGCCACCGTGCCCGGCCCCTTTTTATGAATTCTTAAAGTTATCAATAGATACTCAAAGTTTAGCAAAGTCTAAGTGATATTAAGCTCATCCTTATTGCCCAAGTGACTTCAGTGACTATTTGTTAATTGCAACCAAGGGTCAGTTTTAAGAAAATGAATATATTAAAGTCCTCAAGAAATACCTAAAGGGTAACAAAATCTAAATAATATTGTGCATATTCTTTTATTATTGTATTAGTCTGTTTTCACGCTGCTGATAAAGACATACTCCAAGACTCGGCAATTTACAAAAGAAAGAGATTCATTGGACTTACAGTTCCACGTGGCTGGGGAGGCCTCACAATCATGATGGAAGGTGAAAGGCACATCTCACATGGCAGCAGACAAGAGAAGAGAGTTTGTTCAGGGAAACTCCCATTTTTAAATCTATCAGATCTCGTGAACTCATTCACTATCATGAGAACAGTGCAGGAAAGCCCCACCCCCATAATTCCATCACCTCCCACTGGATTCCTCCCAAAACACGTGGGAATTCAAGATGAGATTTGGGTGGGGACACAGCCAAACCATATCAATTACCGACCCAAAGATCACCTCCTGGGCACCATAAAAATACCAGTACCAATAGTAAAACCTTCCAGAATGACCACTCAGTACTCTAATGATTCTTAGATTACCTCTTTGCATCTAAATAGATAACATATAAAGGAATATTTAACAATTACTTATTTAGTATGCAGCAATAATATCCCCGTTTTGGCCTTGGACTCTCTTTCTGTGTATTATAACCTAGTTGAAGAACTTATGATTTAGTCTGAACAAACTACTAAGTTGTTTTATCCTCAGTTTAGAGACTGTTAAGGTATTTTTCATGCCCCACCACTGGTAATAAAATGTCTCATTTACTTGTTCTCATAACTCTTAATTTTGGAAAAACTTTGTCCATAAAAACTGATTCACCCTGAGGTATCTTTAAAGCTGCATGGTTCTGACCCCTGAGAGTACAGGAGAATCACCTTAAGTTTTGCAAAATACAATATTTGAGTGCTGCCTCCAAGAGAATCTGGTTTGTCTGGAATATTGTTTTTTTTTGAGACAGAGTTTCACTCTTGTTACCCAGGCTGGAGTGCAATGGCGCGATCTCGGCTCACCGCAACCTCTGCCTCCTGGGTTCAGGCAATTCTCCTACCTCAGCCTCCTGAGTAGCTGGGATTACACGCACGTGCCACCATGCCCAGCTAATTTTTTGTATTTTGAGTAGAGACGGGGTTTCACCGTGTTGACCAGGATGGCCTCGATCTCTTGACCTCGTGATCCACCCACCTCAGCCTCCCAAAGTGCTGGGATTACAGGCGTGAGCCACCGCGCCCGGCCCGGAACATTGGTATTTTTAAAAGCTGCCTAGGTAACTCCAACCTAGGCCCTATACATCTGAAGGATACCTACGATGCACCTGAAATATGCAGCAGAAACAGCAGTTCCCTGGAACCACACATCAGAAAGGGGGTGTGTTCAGAAGATCTAGTGGCCAGGAGGGTGGAAGACCCAATGCAGCACTACAGATCATGGAGAAAAACCCAGTGGGGAGGGGTAATCCGAACCTTGAGAATCACTGAGATTGTGTGGAAGTATTTGATCCCACAGCACTCATATTGTATTAGTGTAAAGAAACTTTTGGTAGCCTGGGAACTGTAGACAAAATTTTAAAATACAAAAATTTAGCTGGTGTGGGGGAAGATACTTGAATCAGAACGACTACCACAGAGAGTTTAGTTCTGGCTTGAGTAGCATCATTTCTCAACAGTCCTATAAGCTGCTTCTGCTTTTCTGATCATTTTTCTTTTGCCCACTTCTCAACCAGCATCATGCCAAAAAAACTGCCCACATTTTTCTTAGTGACTCAAATAGGAGCAGCAGCAGCAACAGTAGGGGCCCTGGGAAAGGGCTGTGTAAACCATGATTATCACTCATCCCTGCCCATCCACTTATTAGCGGTGGCACTATGGTCTCTCTGCAGCTCTTATCAAATGCCAATGCCCTTTGTGTTTCATAGGCTAGTGGATCTGGCAGTCTGACAACCAGAAAGGAAACCTGATAAGATTAGAAGTACTTTGCTTCCTATCCAATTTCTTCCTCATTGAGGGAGGAGGGGGGATGTTTTCTTTTCTCACTCAAATATCATAAAATTGATTCTGAAATAGAATCAATAGAGATCTAACAGAAATAGAAAGAAGCCAGGCATGATGGCACATGCCTGTAATCCCAGCTTACTTGAGAAACTGAGGTAGGAGGATTGCCTGAGCCCAGAAATTCAAATCTATCCTGGCAGCATAGTGAGACCCAGTCTCTTAAATTAATTAATTAAACAAATAAATATTTTATTTAAAAAAACAGGAAAAAAAATTAGGGGGCCAGCCACAGTGGTTCACACTTGTAATGCTAGCACATTGGGAGGCTGAGGTGGGTGGATAGTTTGAGCCCAGCCTGGGCAACATGGCAAAACCCCGTCTCTACCAAAAATACATAAATTAGCTGGACATGATGGACTACATGCCTATAGTCCCCTATTCAGGAGTCCAAGTGAGGAGAATCACCTGAGCCTGGATTCTGCAGTCAGCTGAGATCACGCCAGTGCATTCCATCCAGCCCGGGCAACAGAGTTAGACCCTGTCTCTACAAAAAGCAACAAAGAGGCCAGGCACAGTGGCTTACACCTATAATCCCAGCACTTCGGGAGGCTAAGGCAGGTAAGTCATGAAGTCAGGAGTTCGAGACCAGCCTGGCCAAAATGGTGAAACCCCTGTTTCCACTAAAGATACAAAACATTAGCTGGCCATGGTAATGCACATCTGTAACTCCAGCTAATTAGGAGGCTGAGGCAGGAGAATCACTTGAATCTGGGAGGTGGAGGTTGCAGTGAACTGAGATCACTCCATTGCACTGTAGCCTGGGTGACAGGGCAAGAATCTGTCTCAAAAAAAGAAAAGAAAAGAAAAGAAAAAATTTGTGATATTCAAAAGGTTGTTTCCTGACTGAATCCCCCAAACTGTTATTAGTATTCCAATATAATATTTTTTCTTTACTTTTTTTCCCAACTAGGAGTCCTCAGAATTTTTTTTCACTTTTTTATCTTTAATTTTCTCTACAAATAAAGTTACCACATCCCTAGAGTCACTCTTTCTGCTATAGCAAATGGAGAATGCACTTGTTGGTGGGGTGAGAAATAGTGGCACTGGGCTGGTTATGCACTTCCCCTGGGAAGTAGCATACTCTTGGTCTGTGGTCGCAAAACTCTGGAGAATTTCATCTTCCCAGAAAAACAATACATCGCTGGATGCAAATAGTTTAAATTGCCAATGTTAGATCCACACATTCTTGCATGTCTGTTATTGTATTTTTTTTTTCAAAAAGCATCACTATTCGAGGTGTTTTCACTTCTTTTGTCACATTGTAAAAAAAATACAACCCAGATGTTATACAGGTTTTAAGATCTGAAAACAGCCTTGATGCTTCTGTGACTTGGGTGGTATATAAATCGTACGTGGTGCTGGAGCTTGCAGCACTTCTTACACCTTGCAGCACACCTTACTGTTGTGTTATATACTTCTTGCCGTTCTCCAGGCTTGTGTTTCATAGCATGGACTGGACTTCGAAATCAAAAAGGTTTTGATTTCCAGGTGTATTTTAAGAGTACTGATTGATTGAGCCAGCAGCTCACACCTGTAATCCCAGCACTTAGGGAGGCCAAGGAGGGCAGATCACTTGAGGTCAGGAGATCGAGACCAGCCCAGCCAATATGGTGAAACGCCATCTCTTAAAAGTACTAATTGAATTTCTAATTTTTACTCCAGGTTTAAAAACTATGTAGTTTTTTTTCATTTATTTATGTTTCTAAATAAAGTCCTCTGTTGGCTGAGAGTGGTGGCTCATTCCTGTAATCCCAGCACTTTGGGAGGCTGAGGCAGGCAGATCACCTGAGGTCAGGAGTTCGAGGCCAGCCTCGCCAACATGGTGAAACCCCACTTCTATTAAAATACAAAAATTACCCAGGTGTGGTGGCAGGCACCTGTAATCCCAGTTACTGGGAAGGCTGAGGCAGGAGAATTGCTTAAATCAGAGGGCAAAGGTTGCAGTTAGCTGAGATCACGCCATTGCACTCCGGGCTAGGTGACAAGAATGAGACTTCATCTCAAAAAATAATAAAAGAAGCAAATAAATAAAAATAAAATGTAGTCCTCTGTCATGCAAATTACTTAGTAAACGTCTGCTGGTGACTCTCACTGCTGCCAATTTGGCAGCACATGATTGAGATTTCCATTTCTCTTAAGAACTAGAACATGAAAACTCACTGCGACATATTAGTGGTCTGATGTATGATGCCAAGCTCATCTTCTCTACCAAATACCATTTGTTTCTGGGATCTTCGCAGTCCAAGGAACTTCATTCTCAACATCCCACCCCTTACTAACTTTTAGTAATGTCCAGGGATTAAAGGAAATTTGCCTTACGTAACAGGAATTAACAGGGTTAATCTTGCACCCTTTCTGAAAAGAATTTACAAACATTGCAGACAATCTTATCTATCTCTGTCTAAACTGTGGAATTACTGCCATTTAATATAATCAGTCTACTCATTTAGTTTGCTTAAGGAATTTTTTACAAAACAGTTTAAATGAATTAATGGAATAACCAGGAAGTTCAAGTCTCCAACAGTAAGAATGAACTCTTGCTCTCTGGATAATCAAATGGGGCCTTCCTCCTTCAGGTAGATCATGTCATTTCCTCACTCATACTAAATAGGTAAACAAGATAATTACTGAATTCAACTTCTAGTTAATTTCTTCTTTGACCACTGAGTATGTTTTGGCTGGGAGCTTTGTTGGCTATGCTGCCATTTCTTCCAATTATCCTCAGTCCTACAACATATCAATCCATCAATATAACTCATCTTTAAATTGTGGTTTTGCCTTCTCAAGAAGTTATTAATTATACCAATGTAAAATCTTCTAAAATGACTGTTGACTTGTTGATTATCCCCCATGCCATTCCCCTTCCCTGTCCCTCGGCACATAAGGAATGGCTCTTTGCTAAGTTCCACAGATCCTTAAATCTACCAATTAGAAGCTAAGAGCCTACCTCTCTACCATGAAGGAACTATGGGCTGGAACATAATAGATGTTGACTTATAATTTCTTAGAATATTGTGTGAGAAACATCAAACTCCTGATTCCAGGATATGCCAAAAACACATCAATAAAAAACCAAACAAACCAAACCAAACCAAAAAACCCTCATTAGGCTTTGTCAGATGTGGCATATCTCATCAATCAGTTCAAACAAATAGAAATAAGATTTTCTCACAAACTAGACTCTAGCGTTTTTTTAAAAACTTATCTTTACCATAATTTTTTAAATGAATCCTTTGAGATTTTTGATGCATGATATTTATCATCCAATTACTTCATTAGTTCAATTTTTTTAATGGTATTCTTGTATCTGAGGATAAGGTCAGAAAATTTCATGCTCTGAATTCATGCTGATTTTCAGAAGAAAAATGTTAGTTTTGTGTAGAAATAACCCATCCTAAGAAATATAAGATATTTCTTATTATATTTCTTAGCACGTATTTCTTAGGATGATAAGCTATTCAAAGGGTGGTGATAACCAGCACCTTCAGTCAGCATTATCTAAGAATAAGAATCTGTGTTTCTACATACAGATCTCCTAAAAAAGAACCTACACTTGGCCAGGTGCAGTGGCTCATGCCTGTAATTCCAGCACTTTGGGAGGCTAAGGCAGGAGGATCACTTGAGGTCGGGAGTTCGAGACCAGCCTGACCAACATGGAGAAACCTGTCTCTGCTAAAAATATAATTATCTGGGCATGGTGGTGCATGGCTATAATCCCAGCTACTCTGGAGGCTGAGGCAGGAGAATCACTTGAACCCGGGAGGCAGAGTTTGCAGTGAGCAGAGATCGTGCCATTGTACACTCCAGCCTAGGCAACAAGAATGAAACTCCGTCTCAAAAAACAAAAGACAAACAAACAAAAAGAATCTACACTTAACAGGATTCCCCAGGCAACTTGGATGCATTAAAGCTTGAACAACACTGCATTAGAAAGTTAGGTTTTCCATCATAAAAAGGAATATAAAATAAGTTACTTTAATTACATAAGAAGAGGGGTCTTGAGAAAAATATAAGCCAGGGAATTGACATAGTAATTTCATTGCAAAAATATCAAATCTGTCATACAGGGACATTCTCTTTGACCCACTAGCTAGATACTAGTGATAGTCTATTAGTTTCTATTACCTCTGAAATAATCCACAAAACTAGGCAGTTACCTGCATTTGGATTCCACTCCAATCAATAATCCTTATCTAGGTACTTTTACAAGAAATGGAGAGCCATAGGGAGGAGTTATGAATATTTTAGAGCCTGGAAAGGCTATCTTCCACTGTAAATTAAATCAATAAACTTAGCCCGATGCTTGCAGTATCTTCACATAATGTAATACTATGCTGGCATTAAAATCATATTGCTGCTGGGTGGCGTGGCTCAAGCCTGTAATCCCAGCACTTTGGGAGGCCAAGGTGGGCGGATCACAAGGTCAGGAGTTCAAGACCAGCCTGGTCAACATGGTGAAACCCCGTCTCTAAAAAAATAAAAAAATAAAATAATTATATTGCTTACCTCCATTTCATTTTTTGATGATGAATATGAACAATTTTATATAATTTTTCCCTAACAGAATGTGAATAGCCATTAGTGAGCTGATGTGCCCATCAGAGTATAGATGACTCCCGCAATCTTACCTCAGTTGTCAATTGCAGCACTATTTTTTCCAACTTTACACTGGTACCTAACCTGCAGAAATGATCTGATTGACAACATCATGAGTCAGAATGGATGCAGTTATTGTCTCCTTCTTGGGTGCTACACAGGAGTGAACATCACCAATAAAAACAGAATTTGTAAGCGACTCTTTAAACAGACTCTGCTTGGTTTGATGAACTGAAATAATTCTGAAAGGAACAACTGTAATCACTGTAAGAGGATGTTTGCCAAGAAATAAGTTTTCAAGATGGAAATTCCAGCACTTCAAAAGACTGAATTTTAGATGTCAGAATCCATCCACTGTTGAAACCTTTCTCTCCTATTGTAATCAATCACCTCTCTTTTTCTGATCTGATTTGCACTCTCCTTTTTGGCTTAAGCTCACAGAAGCATGTTAAAAATCCTCATCAGGGTCTGAAGAAGGCTGGCATCCAGGATGCTGCAATGTAAGAGCACACAGGCCAGTTGGAGGAGGGATTCAGGTTGGCTCAAGGTAGAGAGGAATGGTCTGATAAGAGGAGCAGAAAAGGCAAACAAAAGTAAAGGACAGAGGGAGAGGGAGAGGGAGAGAGAGAGAGACAGAGAGAGAGATGATATATAAGGTGATTGGAACCAGTGAGGGTGGGCACAGAACCCAGCCCCTAGCTAACAGGGCTGGCAGGAAGAAGAAAAGCAAACCCCAGCCAGCCTCCTGGAGCCAGGGCATGGACTGTCTCCCAGCCACTCTTTCCCAACCCCCACTCCATAAGGTAAGAAACAGAAATATACATGATATCCAGGCAGAGGGGATCCTGCTCAGCAGCCCCCTACTCAGGAAATTAACTGGAAGCTAATTCAGAAAGGCCATTCCCTAATGGAGCTGTTTACCATAGTAATGGCTTCAGATCTTCTATCAACAAGATGAACCAGCCTATCCACACGTAGGCGATAAAGCAGTACAAGATGAAACAGAAAATGACAATTACTACAGACAGTGTGAAGTATGAGGAATAAAATAGATGTGGGTTGAATTGTACCTAACCCACTTTCCAGTTGTATGATCTTGCAGGATTTGCCTGTTTTCCTCATCTGTAATGTGGAAATAATGCCTCACTCCTTCCTTAGTCAGAGATGGGTTAAAAAGAAAAA